TTTCTTATGAGTTCCAGAAACCTCTCCCAAAGATCACCAATCCCCCCCCACACACACACACACACACACACACACACAATGAACACCATCTTTATCTGTGTTGTCGCTGTATAATTCAGTGTTTAAACTTTAAACTTTTAGGTTGCAGTTTCTGTTCTGCCATCGAGCTCAGTTTGTTGTTAAAATATTTTGTACTATAGATGAATTTATGGTTTGATTTATGTGTTTTTATACTCAGTAAGAAGCATGTTCCTCTGTCAATAAAAACATTTTTTCATCTCAGCCCGTCTCCTTCATGTTGTGAACTGTTTCCAAAAAACATGGATGACATAGCATTTCATTTATTATGCAACAAGCACAATTGCAGTTATAATGTAACACAAACAACCTGAGATGGGATGAATGTTTGTCAAGAAGCAGTTTGTGTTGATTAAATAACACAGTCTGCAGGATGGTTGTCTTCATAATGGTCAGTATTCAGTGAACAGTGATGAAGCCAATAACTTGTAATAAATGACGTCAGCATCTCACCGATGAGATGCCATGACGTGGAGGAGTTACTGATGAGCAGCAGAGGTTTCAGGTTTTCATTTATTCAGTTAAATGTCTAGATTTACTGTAAAGTTTTTGAAGGATGGCAAAAAGTGCATACAGACTTTCCCATCAGCATCAATAAACTATCTTCTGCAGAGAAATGGTRTTAGTGTGTTAAAATCACCTTGTCATTTCTGTTTTTCATTAAAAGGTTTCCAGTTTTTTTAAATGAAGGCCTATTGGGTGTTTACAGTATATGTTCATCCTTTCTAGATTAAAAATCCTGTTTATATTGACCTTATGTATTATTGAAAGTTTTAGATAAACTGAATTAACATATTTATTAAAATGAACAAAAAAACTTTTAAATATAATTCAAATATTATAAGAGTTTCGCTTTTTGAATTGAATTACTGGAAAAAATATTTTTTTTCAAAGATATTCTCATTTAATAAGATGCATCTGAACTCATGGAGGCTGTTGAAGAAAAAAAATATATTTTTATGTGACTATCTTTTTAAAGAATCCAGAAAAAAAGAAATCATTCTTTCCCTTTGAATGTGCTTCTCCTAAAAATCTTTGAGTACAGGCTTTTCTTCCTTTGCAGAATATCTGCTGATACTCAAAAACAATGAGTGGCTCTTCCCTGCATCAGTTTTTGCAAATATGATGAAATTAACTCAAACTGAATGGGTTGAGCTAAAAGTTGTTTTTCTGCAGAGTTTAAGATATAAAACCACATAAGTAAGACAACATGTTTGGCCTTTTTATTTTAAAAGAAGCCATTAGATTTTGTCAAAACGTAAAGATTGAACTAAAATGTTTCATGTCTGAAGAAGTGGGCTTGTTGTCCTGATGCATCTCAGTAATCCAGGTAGAAAAAAATCAAAAAGAAAAAAATAAGTAGGTCTTCTGGATGGGTTCTTCTTTAGTGAAAKGTTTCGTCTCTCCTCCAAGAGACTTCTTCAGTCTGATGAGTTTCAGGTGAACTCAGCCTTATAAGCACTGCCTCCACATGGTGGACAAACAGGTTAGTCACATGCAAAAGAGAGCCATTGCCTAACAATAGGCTTGATTAGCTCTGTTGTTCATAGAGGGTCATGTGCCCCATCACCTGACTCATTGGTTTGGATGCTTCGGCTGTGGTTCTTTGGTGTCGTGTCATGTGTATGTAGTGAATGCAGGCAGGGCTCAATGTCCTCTTGTTTTTGTTTTTTCCCTCTTTGTGTTGGTTTTCGTTGAGGCCCTGATTCACACCTTTTGCTCACAGGGGTCTGAGTCATACTTGCAATAACAGCGTTGTAGGAGGAGGACAACTGGACACGAAGGCCTCCACCTCTGTTTAATGGTGGACGGTTTTTCTTTACAAAGACGGCTTCCTAATTTTTAACTCTATTCGTCTTTTTAGTCCATTTTCTCTACGAAGTCTGGGTCAACTCCCATACTCTGAGACACTCTGGGACACAGGCACAGCTCGTCCACCCTTCTTCACCAGATCACAGCCCAGCTTTCTGAATGAAGGACCTGAAAACCACAGACATCCTTTTTTTTTTTTGTGAAGAGAAAATAGAGAGAGAGAAAAACAGAGAGAGAAGTAATTAGAAAGATAGAAAGACTGAAAT